GATGAATCTTCTCACTCGCATTTTCCTCTTGTTTTCTCCATATGGTCCATTATGATATGTCAAGGTCACAGAAAAAAAAGTATTTACTAATGGATTCTTACAAAGTGAAGCACAAGAGGGTTGCTTATGCTCACTTGGGCCTCTATGCTTCTTTGTGTTATCTAAAGATCTCTTTGTCCATTTATTAGGATGGCTTCAAATTATCCCAGAACCAAGGTGCAAAATCATCAGAACCAATACATTTCAGTGTAACTAGGGGCTTTTCAGTCTATCTTCCTTAATCACATTACTTACATCACACAGCTTCACCATACCAGCTTGTGCTTCCAGAATCTAAGAGAGCTTTTACAATAGCTACTTATACCGTACCATATTCTATAAAACAGAAACAGCAATCATAACTGTCCAGGATTTAATGAAAGGACAGTTAGCAATAGTTCATGTAGGACATGAGGCTATATTGAAGTAATGAAGCCTAAGATTGGTTGCTGTGAAGGCATGGATTTATTTAATTCCAAGTCCTGATGTTGGGATGTGTCTCTAATGTTTACCATTTAAACTGTCAGTAGTCCCCTATTCACTTGCTGTATCCCACCTGCTGGCTGCCCAATATAAGATCCAGCCATTATATGCATACACATCATGTATATATGTAATCTCTCCTCCCACACATATTTATGCACATATAAAATATTCATATGTAGTGTTTACTCATGTAAGTAAATAGAAGTTTACCAATATCAATCATATAAGTAAAATATAAATTAATAAAAGTAAATATTGTATGGTTTTTATTTTTCTCATGTTTTCCTAAAATCTTACTTCATACTGTTAAACCTGTTATACATATTTGAAAAATTCAAATCCACCTCTTCCCACCAGGTTTCCAAGTTAAAAACATCACACTATTTTTAAAAAGGATAGCTTCTACTCAATACTTTGAGGGTGATCAAAAACTCCTTTAAGGGCAAAGGGCAGATTGCCAGCTGTACTTCTCAGGACTCAAGGAGTCCTAGAGAACTGATCCCCCAAGGGCTCCTTTTTTTTCTTAGAATGACCACTAGAGCAGAGTCACAAGCAGTGGGCTTCCTGTTGCCCTGCAAATATTAACCAAAACTGCTAGCAGATTGTCTTGTTTTAAAGGTCTTAGTTTCCAACCAGAATTTAGCCTTTGTTTCTGCTGCCCTCCAGAAGCTGTCCTGTCCTGTGCACTCCTACTTGGCTGACGCTCATTTGCATTAAAAAGTGTTAGCAGCAAAGGAGACTTTTTAAATGGCAAGTTTTACTTCATATAACTTTTCCAAGAACAACAACAAAACACACACACACACACACACACACACACACACACACACACAGGATTCCATTAGGTCTAACTAGAAGACCACATTGGAAAAGCCAAAGTATATACTGAATGTAGAGAGCCTGGGTGTGATTCCAGTTCTCACACTTGCTAACATGAAGAAGCCTGATGCTTTCTCTTAGCCTCATGCTCCATATTTTTTTGGATAGTCTCCAGTCCTTGTAAAAGGATTGCCATTAGGATCATATCAGGTATAATTGAAAAACACCTAATATATACTAGGCACTTCTCTATTGCGAGGATTACATGACCACTAGGGATTGTTTTTAAAAATGCCTTCATTTCATTTGTTTTGTCAGCTCTGGCACTAAATGTATTTTATTATATGCTGTTTGTTTTTTAAATGATTTTGTCACATATGTCAACAATTAACCCATTGTCTCACCACAACCCCTGGAAGAAATGGGAATTTAACTGGAAAAATATGATCATGGCAAAGTTCTGTGAATGTTACTGAGACATGTCATTCTAAAACAAATGAACAAATGATGTAACTTTTTAAAGCCTGTCGTGGCATTTGCTTATTGGCATATTACATTTTTGTGGTGCCTGTTATTTTAAATTTTCTTCTTCCTGCATGATTTGTTAATAAATAATAGAAGCCATTCTTGAATTTTGTTTCCTCAACTGTCAATTATGTGTGTCTTATAGAGATTGAGTATTTCCTATATTTACATTGAAAAGCTTTTCCAACTCTGTAATTTTTATGATAGTGTGTAAATATGACATTTAGTTTATGTTTTAGTTGACTAACTCTCTGTGAATTGGATTTGAAGCTGTGGACAGTTAAGAATGAAACTTTCTAGTTCAGTAAGCCCCTTGATAACAGGAAAAGAGTTACAAGGGAATGACTTTTCACTTTCTGTTATCATTTTGATTGAAAAAGTATAAACTCACAATTACCTGAAGTGATTTACTATTTTGATTGAGCTCTAGCTGCCCCCGAAATAGGATGACCTTACAGATAATATTACATTGAGCCCCCAGAAATCAATAAGTATAATAAAATCTTTTTTACTGACCCTTCCTACCTACTCACTGAGTCAATTGCTTTTCCCTCCAGATTTTTCATGGAAAGTTCTACAATTCCTTTTATTCTATATCAAAAGTAAAATGCTTTCATAGGATGAATACAGTTGTTTGTTACTTCAATTCTCTTTAAAGACTTTGTTTTTTTATCTCTTTGTTTCTATGACACTACCACATTTATCTAACATCTACAACCTCATATTTTGCAATAAAACATCACACCATAGTAGACAGTGAGACCAATAAAATTGTTGTTAATGAATATTAGGATTCCCACACAGCTGTTTTGACACTTACTAAATTATAGGAGACTTGGAAATCCCTTACATAAAGCAGTTGAAAGAATAACAACATAGTAGGAGAAAAATTTCCCTTCCTTGTAATCAGAAGTACTTTCCCAGGCAAAGGAGCCATAACAATTCTATTCAACAACAAAGGGGTTTTAATACCCTTACTCTTAGATTTTTTTTTACAGGAAGTCGACCTCTGTTTCATAGGCAATGCAATGGTGGCCTGGGCTGGACACCTTGTTTTCCTGGGTGATCACTCATCTTCATCACAGCTTAATTATTTACCAGGCAGCAACCTGACCAAAAAGAACCAAGACTAATAGTGGTTCAGTAAAGGACCCTGTGGGTCCAGGCTACATAGCTGATGCCTCCTTGGTCAGCTCCCAGGTACTTCTATCAGTGGTGTTTTCCAACTTGGTCCTGTACTGAAAATACAAATTTTAGGGTCAAGATTTAGCTCAGTAACAGATTGTTCACTTAGCATTAGTGAGGAATGGGATTCAATTTCTAGTACCATAAAGATTAAGGAGAGGAGAAGAGGTGAAGGGAGGGGAGAGGGGAAGAGAGGCTTTTGTGAGAAATATATTTCTATACTAGCACTAAGAAACCAGTTTTCCCTCATGCCTAGAAAATAGGCTGTAGCTCATTTTACAGCATTGATTTAATAATTCAGTATTTCTATAAGAGTCATTTATTATAATAGATGTTAGAAAACAGTCTTGATGGAAAAGAACTGAATTTGCCTACACAATAAGGTTCATTCCATCACAGAAAAACAATAGTGACATGAACTATTCAGTGCCCATCTTTGGGACTAGTGTAGTATACGGATGATGCTCTGAAGATATGTGGTCACTTACTGGTTGCTTCTCTTCCAAGACTGAATTCTTTTCCTGTTCTGTGTGCCTACAACAGACAATATAAACAGCAATTGTCAACAATTTTGTGCTCAGCTTATTGATTCAATCAACTTTCATATCTGACTGTATATGTCCTCATTTATAAGCTCAATTGATGAGATTCAGCCCAACAAGTTAACTTCATGAAGCTGCTAAGCACTTAAAGGGAAAGTTGCCAAAGAGGTAGAAATTAGAAAATTGCATATTTATTTCACATACCTAGAAATATAATACAACGATCGAGAATGTTTTGTATTCTTGCTTTAAAGGTATACCTATAGTCATTTAGTGTTGACAATATACCAAAAACTCGCAGTAAAGTGTATACTCTGTACAATAAATGAAGTTTCTAAAGTTTATGACAAAATATGAGATCTTTCCCTTCCCTTTACCCTTTACATACATAACTATCCTGCAGCTTAACTCTTTAGTACTCTCTGTTTTGTTACTCATTTTCATCTAACTTTTACCACAGAAATAACTCCTTAACATATAAATTTGATCTTGGCATGCCACTAGATCTTTCTTAAAGTGAATAATACATTGTAGGCCTCCAAACTCAGCAGATTCAAATCCTATTAAATCCAAACATACAAACAAAAAAAAACAAATAAAAGCTCTCATTGCCTTATAGTTAACATTTACATTCCTGGTGTGCATCAACACCAAATACACGTGTGTGTGTGTGTGTGTGTGTGTGTGTGTGTGTGTGTGTGTGTGTGTGTGTGTGCACATGATTCTGCCATAGTTAAACTGGGAGCCAATGAGTGTATTTGGCTTCCAGCAGAATATGTGAGAGGTTCCTTTCAGGAATGATGATTTTCCTTTCCCAACAGGCAGCGTGTGAAAAACAGTATCCAACAGGGGGTGAGAACCTTCCCATAACCACATAGTTCATACATGGTGCTCCAGTCTTCCCTGATCTATATATATCCTATCCCTTTCAGAGGAGGTCATATGCAATGAATGCAGAGTTGCATAGAAAAGGTAATAGAAACTGGACTGGACACTTTATTGAAAAATTGCATACCCTTTTCCAAGCTGGTATTCAGATATAAAACATCAGCAAGGCTAACTGGGATGATCTTTTGCAAGGGGAGCCCCTGATTGCCCCAGGTGTTGCTTGGCTCAGAAAACAGTCACTCACAACACTATCATTCCCTCAAACTCAATGCATTTAATTTCAGACTTAATTTTATGCACACAGGACAAGCCTAAAGTATGTGCTACTTTCATTATAGTAGCATCAGGTCTCTATAAAGCTGATGAACTAAAGGAAGAGCAACAACTCCATCTTCCTATATTTAAATTCCCTCTTACTTAATGGGGATCCCAATATATATGCTACAGAAAAATAAAGATTTTTTAATTGACCCAGTTGCCCCCACTCCATGATGGTGTTCTTCTGACTTCTTTTAGGAGCATGGAATACCGACCAACCTGGGCTATGCAGTGGCCCCACATCACTCAGGGGTCTACCCGGTCCATATTCAGCTGTATGCAGCTTGGAAGAAGGTCTGGGGTATTCAGGTTACCAGCACTGAAGAGTATCCACATCTGAAACCTGCAAGATACAGAAAGGGCTTCATTCACAATAGCATCATGGTGAGCGCATAATACCTTGTGTTTAAGTGAAGGGATTAACATTCTATCTAGGGATGTAACACAGAACTACTTTCTAAAGACTTTCAGAAGTTAACAACATGCCATGAAAGTGACTGGTCACACAATGTCATACTGTTTGACTACATGCTTGTTTGCCTGGTTGTGGAGTGATTTTACTGAGTGTATAACAATCTAGAAATAATGGGAATGAGTTTTGCATTGATTATCCATTGATATTTTCAAATGGAAATTTGGTCTGCGGCTCCTATGCTGCTTCTGAGGAATTTCTCGGTGCTGCTGGTTTGAGTGTATTTAACACGATCTAAAGGTAGGATGTCACTCTACAGATCAAGAAAATACCCCTCCAGTAACTTCACTACCAACAGTATGAAAGGGAGCAATAGCACCTGAAAGCTAACTCCATCTAACCCATATATTTTGGCCTTCGGTCATTCAGAGCATCTTAGAGCACTGTTTATTTTCATTCTCTTTTTCCTGGAAATTGCAGGGAAGGGTAGCATGTACTTCTTTCCCATGTGTATTAGCTAAAAAATAATGATCAAATTTAAGAATGATTCATCCATTATGATAAATTAGAATAAAACCACATGAATTTGAGCCAAAAGTTTAGCATCACTCATTGGAGGAAAAAGTGGCACCATTCCCTTGGTTCTAAAATGGCTAGTTTTATCCAGTTCTGGGTGTCTTTGAAGATGTTGCCACAATTCGTCATCAAGATCAAAGCAAGAGTTTACCATTTTCTTTCTGTTCAATATTTACACTAACTCACACTATTACCAATATTGCTATTAGAACTACCTATCTATCTGTCTGTCTTTACATCTAATCTCCATCTAAAACCAAGAGACATGAATAAATAGCTACTCATATTGGAGTTCAGTAATTTTATCATGGGACTTTAATTATCTCATCATTTTAATACAGCACCAGTAAACCAAAGAACACAGACTGTTACCTGAAATCATTGATACTACAAACAGTAAAATTGAAGCCTGTAGAAATCTGGAAGTGTAACAAGAATTATTCAAATAAATTTCAAAACAGAGAAAGCACTGAGGTTCTTTCATTGTGTGATCACTAACATGTCATGAAAGGAAATCATCCTTTTTATCTTGAATTTAATTATGAAAATTAAATGAAGAATAAATACCATCATAGCTTTCTTGTATAATTGGGTACATTTTCCATTAGACTATAAATGCTTTATTATTCAAAATGGGATTTTAGAGTTAATTTTCTTATTTTTTATCTGTTGAACATCTAGAGTTACAACAAATTCAACAGAAAAATACTCCAGAAATAGTCATTAAATGGTTTGTCTACTACTGAGATGAAATTTAAAGCCAGATATAGTACAAACAAAGCAAAGCAGGGATGGTGAGAAAAGTTGACTTTGAATTCCAGAGGCTACATATTTCTACAAGACAGTATCAGAAGGAGAATAGAAGCTTAGTTAGATGAGAAATATAACTATGTTTGCAGTCTGAATCAAATGAACACCAAGATAACATATCCATTAATCCGAGTCAGGCAGTAGTTTTGATTTATAGAACTCAGTTAACTGGGTACATATTCTAAACTACAAATTGTATTTCTTTGATTCAGTTACTACATTGATATTTACCAATTTAAACCAACATGAACTCCTGATTACAGTAAGACACCAGGAGCTCTTTGCTGACTGTGAAACTATGGGAGTGGTAACAGTTCTTAGCTAAATCTCACCATTGTGTTGCTTTTACCTCTTCGTCATCAGGTCCTCCCTCGACAGACCTGTGGGCTGTTCACACATACTATTTTCTACAAGGAGTATCCAGGAGGACCCCAGGAATTGGACAAAAGTATCAAAGGAGGTGAACTTTTCCTCACAATCCTTCTAAACCCAGTATGTGTTCTACTTGTACATTTCACATAGCATCAGTGTTGTCAAATAAGTTGCATTTTAAAAACTAAATCACGAGGACTTTTTTTAAATAGTCTATCACTAGGTATCCTGACAAGACTAGAAGTTGTTATATAAACCAAGCTGGGCTTGAACCCAAAAAGATTCCCCTACTTCTGCCTCCATACTGCTAGGATTAACAGTGTATGTGATACCACACCCAGCTTATGGCTATATACTATATGAGCAAAACATGTTTACTGAAACTGAATTCAAATCTGCATTTCAATTCATTTCCTGGATACAGTTTGATTTATTGGGAACTTTTCACCAGTGAATATGATATTCGTTGTGAGTTTAACATATTGTTTTATTGTGCTGGCATATTTTTCATTTGTCTCTAATTTATGAAAGTTTTTATCATGAAAAGATGTTGGCTTTTCCTCAAAGGCTTTTTTGCACCCAGTTAGATGATTAGATTGTTTTTATTCTTCATCTATTTCTTTTATATTATAAATATATAGTATTCAATGACTTTCAGATTTTGCACCATCCTTGCATCCTTGGAATAAATTTTGTGTGAGCACATGGAAGAAATTTTTTAATCTGGGTTTGTTTGGCTAATGTCTTCCACCCCCTGTTAATTCTGAGATTTGCCAGAGAAAAACCAGTTCCACCATCTTGGCCAAATTAAAGCAAGATTTTATTAAAATACTAAATTCTAACACAGATGGAATTTGATCAGGACTAACCCTAACCCTAACCTGGAGACTTCCCAGGTGAGTGGTTTGGAGACACATGATGACAGGGCTTCTGTGGGCAAAATCTAAAAGACACCATACTATCTCACGCGACTTTGTTGTTCTTTTTAGAGAACTAGAACCCCCAGAATCCCAGAATGTTACCTGGTCCTTGGACAGGTGGAGCTTTTTGGTTAATTTAAGGTCTAATACCTTGAGGGTTTTTATGCCTGTATTTATAAAGGATTTTAAAAAGTAATTTCTTTGTTGTTCTATTTAGTTATTATCAGGGTAATGCTGGCTTAATAACAAGTGTTTGGAAGTTTGCTTCTTACTTCCTATTCAAATTTTTGGAGGAGTTTGAGATAAAGTAATATTAATACACAATATTTATTTGATCATCAGTGAAACTAGGGAGTCGTGAATTCCTTTGGGTTGAGAATCTTTTTTGTATTTTTTTTATAATTACATCATTCCTCTTTCCTTTCCTTCCTCCATATCTTCCTATATACTCTCCTTGCTCTCTTTCAAACTCATGGCCTCTTTTTTCATTAGTTGTTACTGCATTCATATCTGTATATAAATGTATATTCCTCAATATAATCTGCTAGGTCTGTGTAGTGTTATTTGTGTGTATGTTTTCAGAGCTAACCACTTGGTATTGTATAACCAGTTGGTATTTCTTCCCTGAACTAATTCTCCCACTCACAGCACCCCTCAGTTGCCTGTAGCTCTTTGTGTAGGGTTGAGACCTCATGGTTATTCCCTCATCTGACGGTTCCTCCAGAAGGTAGGTCTGGGGAAGGTCCGGTCCAACCTGTCTCTTACCAGGACTGAGCAGGATGGTGAGTGTCAACGATTTAGACCTCCCCCCACCTCCTAGTTACTGGGAGAAATATACTGAGTCTGGAGAATTGTCAAAGCAGGATCTTGCTTTATTCCAACAGGTACGAACCTATATAGGGTTGAGGTAGGGGATGGGAATCATAGAATAGGGTAAGGTGACATGAGGAGTAAGGGCCAATAATATTCCACCAAGCTGGCAGGTAGCTAGGCAGTCTTACAGCAGGCCTAGCTGAGTCACACCCAAGCAGAAGTTACAGGCCAGAGACAGGTCGCCAAACTCTAGCCAGGCTCAGGGGGTTACAATGGTCTTTAAATCAGAGCCTTTTTAGGCCCAACACTCATCCATTTTGATGTGTCTGTTGCATTTGTCTTTGTTCAGCTAATGCTTGGGCAGTAAATTCTGAGAAGCATCTCACAGCAAACTGTTGGATTCTCTGGCATTTACAATCATTCTGCCCCTTCTTCAGAATGTTCTCCTGAACCTTGGGTGCAGGAGTGTTTTGTCCATTGTCTTTGACGCTGCATTTTGATTGATTGTGGTTTCTGTGGTGGTCTACATTTCTTGATGAGGGGTGAAAACTACAGTTATCTGTGGATTTAAGAACTAATGTTGAGATTGTTATTTGGTATTGTTGTGGTTTAGTATAATCGTGGTTCTAAGTTCTCTTCCAATATCTATGACTTTACTAGCACTGAGTAGTTGGCAAAGTTTCCACTATTTGGTTATTTATGTGTATGAATATTTTGCCTGGGTATATGTATCTGTACATTCCTTGTGCCCTCGCAGATCAGAAGAGAGCATGGGATTCCATGGAACTAGAGTTATGGATGGCTATAAGACTACTTGTGGGTTCTGGTACATGAACATGGACCCTCTGAAAGAGCAACCAGTACTCTTAACCACTAAGCCACATCTCCAGCTCCTGTTAAGATACTTTATTTAAGCCGGGCAGTGGTGGCACACGACTTTAATCCCAGAACTCTGGAGGCAGAGGCAGGCAGATTTCTGTGAGTTCCAGACCAGGCTGGTCTACAAGAGCTAATAATTCAAGATCAACCTCCAAAGCCACAGAGAAACTCCATCTCAAAAAACCATATATTATTTAGGGACTTAATTTTCTCTTTGTGATTTTCATTAGACTTATATTTCTAAAAATTCCGTTTTGTACACTGATATGTAATACCTATTGTGCCCTCACAATTCTGTGTATTTCTGTAATGCCAATTATAATGTTTCTTCTTTCATCTCTGATTTCATTATCTAAGGCATGGCATCTTTTCTCTGTTAACTTTTATAAGTTGTAAACAGCCCAACTCTTGGGTAACTGATTAGATTTCTATTGTTTGTATAGTCTCTATTTTATTTTTTCTGCTCTAAATATTTCTTTGTCCTTTATGCTAACTTTGAGATTAGTTTTATCTTCTTTCCTAATTCTTTGAAATGTGAAGTCAGCTGTTTATTTGAGAATTTTCTTTCATTCTTTATTTAACATTCAGTGTTACCAACTTCTTCCATTTCAGAATTTCTTTACAATTCATCTCTAGACTAGTTGGTAAATCCTAGGCATACTAGAGAAAGAGTAGATTCATCTACCAAGTAGTATGATTTCTTATTGAACTTATCAAGAAAATATAACTTTCTTATGCATGTCCATATATATAATATATGCATGTATACACGATATAATTGTCAGTTGGCATACAAATTTTTTCATGTTATTAAAAATGTAGTAAATATGCATACTGCTATGTAGTTCTGTAGCCAAAATTTAACATTTGTAATTTAATCAGCAGTACATGTTTAGCTCCAATAATATCTTTCCAGGTTAATATGTTAGTAGACACTTTTATAATCTCCAAAAGTGTCCAAATACAAGAGGCTGAATTGAAAATGTGTAATGATGGGCTATAATCTTACACGTAGGTAGCCCAAAGCTGAATTCCTTATTAACTCTATTAATATCAAATACAGAAGCTAGTCCATTTTTATTTTACTTGTGTGCTTTTAGCTATCAAAGTCTGTAGTAAATACATGTGCAGAATCATAGCGGTATGGGACTATATCACCATGAGATGTTTGGATTATTCCAGCTCTCTGATTTTTCTCCCATAATGATTTCATTTCTGAGGTCGCAGAGAAGCATGCCCTCATTTGCATCTCATTGAAAATGGAACATAGGAGATAATGGGATTTATGCTATAACCACCTTGCTTAATGTGAGAAAATCTCATGCACAGAGTAAGAGGTATATGCTTTAAATAAAACTAGAATAAAATGTCACCTATGTTTGAAACAGCTTTTGTTGGGTTAATTTTATATATTTTAGAGTCACAAAGAAATCAAATATAAACAAACATGTATTATATAAAAATTATAAAATAACTTGTAAGTTAAATAATAATAGTGAAATTAGAATAGAAATGAGTTAACTGGATATTAAATCTCTTCCCCTAAAGGTACATGTTACTTAAATCAACCCAAAGAAGGCTGTCAGATTGACAAGTCAGACTCACATGTAACATGAAATAAAAATTGGAGGCGACACATGCTTTAGCAAGAAATTTTATTTTTAAGTCACCATGGAGTTATAAAAATAATTATTGAAAATTAAGATTACACATGTGTATTGGTGGACTTTTTTTCCCCACCAACCAGTTCCCGAATAACCACACAGACTTACACTAATTGCAAATGCTCAGCCAATAATTCAGGCTTGTTACTAGCTAACTCTGACATTTTAAATTAACCCATATTTCTTATCTATGCTCTGCCATGTGACTAAGTACCTTTTCTTGGTACTGCAAGTTCAACACCTGCATTATCTACATCTCCACATGACTTCTCCTCTTCTTCTTCATACTTTCTGTTTGTATGCCAGCCTCACCTAACCTTGACCTTTCCAGCTATTGTCATATTTATTAAACCAGTCACATCAACATAAATTCACAGTGTAAAGGAATATTCCACACATGAGAGTGTCAGAAAATCAAAATAAAACCTTTTGCCTTTTGCCTGTCCTATTGAAAGTATATTCTCAGTAGATGCCCAGGTCCATTTTTCTTCACTTTCATCTTTTGGTTCCTCTCTTGACCCATATCTGCTCTAACCTTCTCAAAAGGCATTTAGTCATCAGCACATTGAATATTGTCACCTCTTCGGTACACCCTCCCCATGTTTGATTGTCACTAGCATTTAGTGCTTGAATGCCTAATTACCAGGCTTATGCCTAATAATATCTAGTTTTAATATCAAATCTAATGCAATTCATAAAGCATCATTCTGAGACATAAATGACTTCTTTTAACGTAGACGATAATGTGGGGTCTAATATTCCAATATTCCATCTATTGTAGTGGTGAACCAAAAAAAAACTAACTTAAAAGACTCATCATTGACATGCAAATATGTTTTGACTT